TATCCCTCTGCTGCCCTGCAGGTCTGGACCCTGGCAGGGTCAGGAACCCCTGGACAGAGCCCCAGAGACACTGGCTGTGATCTCTGTCCCATGGAAAAGAGTTTTCAATCTTACAGATCAATAAAAGTTTGAGTGTTGATAAGAATAATAATTAGTGTGACACGGGTGCAAAGTAAATTTAGATTTCTAGATAGGGGTCCAAAGGACAAGATGGAGGAAATTGGGGTGTCTGTCCTTTCTCCTTCTTCATGCCCTCCATGTTCACTTTTGTGGCATTTTCTGTTGGTCAGCTGGGGACACACTGTCAAACGTAGGTTGACAGATATTGGCACGTTATTGTAACATCCAGCACAGGTAGTTCTGGTATTTAATGTTTTACCAATCCCACTGAGGGCAGAGCCCCACACGCTGCCTGCAGGACAAGAGCTGCGCAGGGCAGCAGAACATGTAGAGATAAACAGAATAAAACAACTTGAAACCAGCACAGACGAATTATGGCTTCTTCTTTGGCAACGGGGCAGAAAGACAGAGACTTTCTACAATCTTGGAATCACCAATACCCACAGATTCCGACACTCAGGGGACAGCAGGAGCGTGGTGCTGTCACCCTGCAAACAGCCCCTTCATTTCCCGAGCCTGGTCCCTTCCTGCCATCCCAGCTGGATTCTCGGCTTGGAGACAGGGAGGGGAGCGCTGGAGTAGTGGAAATGAGGAGAAACACAGAGAAAGGGTCAGACAGCAGCAGGAGAGGCTCCTGCACAAATCCACCTCACCCAAAGCCTTGCAGAAAGTGCAAATCACAGAATCACTGAATGATTTGGGCTGGAAGGGACCTCAAAGGTCACCCAGTGCCACCCCTGCCATGGCAGGGACACCTCCCACTGCCCCAGGTGCTCCCAGCCCTGTCCAGCCTGGCCTGGGCACTGCCAGGGATCCAGGGGCACCCACAGCTGCTCTGGGCACCTGTGCCAAGGCCACTCCAAATCAACTGCATTAAATCTGCTTTGGGCATGGAAGATGTCTCAGCACTTGATTTAAGGTGGTTTAAAAATAAATTTTAAAAAATAAATTGAACAAACCCTGTTTATTTTAATTTTAAAAATTAGTTATTGAAATGAACAGATTAGATCCTCTCCAAGGAGCACTGCCCACCTGGGAGCAAGAGCTGAGCAGCTTCGCCTCCTCCTCTGGGAATCACCTTCGCTGTCATTTAGACAGGATTGGAAGTGACACAGAATTAGCACAAACAGGGAAAAAAGCAGCAAATATCCACGGGCACCGCACAACGCCCGTCCCCGGCTCGGGATATTTTTAGCATCCTGAAGGAGTGGGAGGTGGCAGGAGTGAGGCGCCGCTGGCACATCCCTGCTGCTCACTCCCCAGGAATCACTTCCTCCCTTGAACAGAAGAAGGGATTTTTTTCCTGTGTTTTCTCCTCTCCCAGGCAGGAGCTGGGTGGGATTTGCACATCCCTCTCTCCCAGCAGCCACATCCTACCCGTGCTCTGCTCTGAGGTGTGTTTGGGCAGCAGGAAACAACATTTCAAAGAGAATAACAAAAACCCGGCCTTGGTCTGTTTTAAAGCACATCCTCAGGGTGAGACACCCCCGTGGTTTCACCGGAGAGCATCTCCCTGTGCCAGCCCTGCTGCAGCGGGCTGGGCAGCCGGCCAGGGAGGAATTTGCCTTTAAAAGGGGGGAACAAGCAGGCTGCAGCATTTTATGGATTGGGATAAGCAAAGGGGCTGCTCCAGTCAATCCCACTTAAGGAAGGGTGATGGTCCCTGTGCCTCCCAAGAGAGGGGGACAGGCACCCCCTAATTTCCCTGTCTGGCCCCTAATTCCCCAAAATTCATTCCATAGGAGTGAATCCCGAGGGGACATCCCTTGGGGCCGCAGCCAGCATTCCCAGCTCCCAAAGCTTTTCCTCTTTCCTTTTGGCAAACAAAATCCTGCTGCTCCCCTCCCGCTGCAGATTTCCACCCGAGCAGTTTTCCCTGCTCGGGACATGTCCCTGCAGGAGCTGGGGAAAAGGGACAGTGACCATGGAGAGCTGAAGCCAGCGAGGGGGGACACAGCCCCGGCGTGCTGGGGTTGTGATGCTGCAGAGTTCACTGCTGCCAGCAGAAATCAACACCAATCAAGCAAATTATGTTGATTCCCAAATAAATACATGAGCTTCCAAAACCTTGACCTGGGGAGGCGCAGCAGAGTCGGTGCTTCCCTGGAGTATCTCCTGGGGCCAGCCCGCTCTGCCCGGCCGGAGCACCCGTCACTGTCCCCGCTGCTGTCCCCTTCTGGTGCCTCAGCCACCCACGACAGGGAGCTGCCAGCCTTGGGTTTGACCCTGAGCCTGCAAAACTCCGAGCACGGCCAGGATTTCATGGCAATTAATCTCTGAATGGGAAAGCATCACGCCCGATGTGGGGGCAGCAGGAGCAGGGATGAAACATCTCCAGAGGCAGGGCCTGTCCATGGTGCCCCAGAAAATCCCCCACCTCCATCCCCTGCCCAAAAACCCCTTTGGCCCCAGCCCCAGCCACCCCTCGCGGCAGCCTGCCCGTAAATATTTAATCACTATTTAATTACCAACGCTGATTCCCTGATTTCTCCTCGCTCTAGCCCAAAAGTAGCTCCAGTGCTGTGTCCCCATCCCGCAGGGACACAGAACAGGGCCCGTCCCCACCCCGCTCCTGCCGCGCTCCTCCGGTGCCTGCCAGAAAATTCCGGGTGCTGGAGTCCCCAAAGCCCAGAGGGAGCCTGGGGAGGGAGGTTCATCCACAGCCCCAGGAAAAGCACTGGGCATCCTCCGCGTTTGCCAGAGGGAGAGGAAGCCCCTCGGTGCCAGCCACAGCCCTGGCAGCGCCGGGCTCCGCGATCCGGGCTGGATTCTGCTCCGATGTCGCGCTGTCCCCCCCTTCTGCCGCCACCTGAGCTCTCCTGGGGACACAGACCCGGCGGCTCAAACCCGGCACCCGCCCAGCCCCGGCGGAGCCGCGGCTCCTTCCCGCTGCCTTTTCAGCAGGCAAGAAGCAAAACATCAAATATTGATATCCTGAAATCGCTGCTCAGCTCCCCCGGGAAACGGCTCCGACTGCAGCATCCAGCCGGTGCCTGCTCCGGCGTGTCCTGCCGCGGGTGACACGGAGCCACAGCCCGCGGGTGACACGGAGCCCGGGGGTGACACGGAGCCACAGCCCGGGGGTGACACGGAGCCTGGGGGTGACACGGAGCCCGGGGGTGACACGGAGCCACAGCCTGCGGGTGACACGGAGCCACAGCCCGCGGGTGACACGGATCCACAGCCCGGGGGTGACACGGAGCCACAGCCGGGGGGTGACACGGAGCCACAGCCTGGGGGTGACACGGAGCCACAGCCTGGGGGTGACACGGAGCCCGGGGGTGACACGGAGCCACAGCCCAGGGGCCACGGCTGCGCCCAGGGCAGCGCTGCCCACCCAGCGCGGCCAGGGCCGGACTCTGCCCGCGCAGCCGAGCCAGGCTGAGCAGCAGCAGCAGGGCTGGAGCAGCAGCAGCAGCAGGGCTGGAGCAGCAGCAGCAGCAGGGCTGGAGCAGCAGCAGCAGGGCTGGAGCAGCAGCAGCAGCAGGGCTGGAGCAGCAGCAGCAGCAGCAGGGCTGGAGCAGCAGCAGCAGCACGGCTGGAGAAGCAGCAGCAGGGCTGGAGCAGCAGCAGCAGGGCTGGAGAGCTTCCCTCCATCCTGCCCGCAAACCGAGAGAAGCAAAGAAAAATGGGGGACAGAGTCTGCCAGGCAGAAAAGCCTCTTGTCCTCATCTCCCGCTCGGCGCTGGCATCCCTTTGGCACGGGATGCCCTCTGCTGCCGGAGCTTCCCTGCCCGGGGTCGCCGCTTCCATCCCGATTTAGCAGCAGGAGAAGCCCCTGCAGAGCGCAGAGCCCTGGGGCAGCTGCCGCAGGGCCGAACCCCTCAGCCCGCTCCGGGAATATTCCGGGCTGTCAGCGCCGACTCTGTGCCAGGAGGATAAAAATATCCCCGGGGCTGCCGGGATCCGCCGGCTCCGGAGCCGAAATCCCGGGGGGTTCTGCCGGAGGCAGCCACGGGCACCCCGAAGTGCAGA